TGAGGCGGTGCTTTCCCCAAGGCAGTGAGCAGTGAACTCAGCTCTGTATTATCAACAGATTGTGTTGTGGTACTCGGGGAACACAGCACTCAATAATGTGGAAAAATTATGCAATATGTAGATGTAGAAAAAGACAAAGGAATGTGTACAAATAATAATAGTTGTGTTAGGAGGCTAGTATTCTGTCAATTTTTCAGATCTTTTCTATGGTATTCTTATGGAATGAGGACAATGTTTATTTCAATCAATAAATAGGGATTCATTTTGGTACAAGCCACCTTTTAATGTGGAAAGACTAAATAACGGCACTACTGTGCAACTTATTATTCTTTGTTGTTGTTGTTTGCAATCAATAACAATCCAGAGAGAAGACTACTTAGACAGCAAGCAGAGCTATTCATATTGTAATTATGCTTGTAGAATCGAAACACTTATGGGCTCAGTTGTAATGAAAATGATCCAAAAATGTTCTAAAATCACTTAATTAATGTTGAGAGACAATTGGGAGGACATTGACAATGGCCTTTAAATGGGTTTTGGTATTTAATGGGACAGAGGCTTTAGACAGTGGCTTACTTAGCACTGAGTTACATAAATGTCATCAACCTAACATAGCATTGAAGCATCTCACAAAATTAAAAGCCAGACTTCATTAACAGAAATTCTGTAGTCAATGCATTTTACAGTGTTAAGTATATTCCCTACACTGAGCAGTTTATCCGTTTTGTGTCAGGTTTTCTAACACAAACCACCTTTGATGGTCTGACTTGTTAAATTGGTTCTGGTTAGACCAATATCAGTGGTCAGCTACCCTGGTAAGAGTTACCTTTTCTACTAATAGTAATCCACACTGTTACCTTTTCAACCTTTGTTCTTCTGGCGTAAATAAGCTTTGTAGGCAGATGAAGTGCACGAAGTAAGGGATAACAACAAAACCGGACCTACCAACAAAGAAGTCTGAAAATTTCCCTATGATACAGCCAAGAAATTTAAACAGCTTCTGTTCCAGGTAAAGATATACCGATGACAAGAATAAAGACAGGAATCTCAAGATTAATCAGGTAATTTTATTTAATATTTACTATTCAGCAGCAACCAACGTGAACATTTGAGCTAACAGAATCTCTTGAAATGTTCTGCTATAAAGCTGCTTCAGAAATACACGCACATGATCAACTGTTCATTGCAAAATTTTTTTTAAAAAAAATGGCTTCAAGAGCAAATAACACTGATTTACACTGTGCCCAAGCACAAGTGAACAAATCTATTAAATTACAGAGGAAAAGGAAATCCAAGAAGCTTTGTTATCTTATGCGTGTCATCTTATTTAAATGGAAGGCTGTACTTTAAAGCAACAGATATATGGAGCTTACTATATAGATATATCTACATGTGTTTTTCAAGGATGTGATTACAAACACAAAGTGTTATCATCAAAAGCAAAAGCTACTTCAAGAAATTTCCAACTGCAAAACTTGCAAGATACAAAGCTAAAATTTATATGTTCCTTTTCTCAATTATGAATACCTTCACTAAACATAAATATTTTAACATATATTAATTTTTCTGACATTCAAAATTGTAAAGTCAATATGGCAGAATTATTGTTAAAAGCACATATGTACAAATATTCTTTTTCCATACATAAAGTATTTGGCATAATTATAACAATCATACTGCATCCACAACTGTTTGCTTCTATTTTTACTGGGTTTTTTTACACATAATGGTATCTCTTATTAAAATTAACCAGTTATGTACAAAAATACTTGAACATTTATTATAGAAAACCTCTATAACCAGCCTCAACAGCATATACCTGCTGAATGGTTTCATTAAGAGAATATAAAAAAGTGGTCACTGCCTTCCAGGTAAGCTATCAGCAAAAACAAACACAGTTAAACTAAAATGAGCTTCCCAACAAAAGAGGGAAAATATTTAACAGCATGATTTAAAATACAGTTCATATCTATTGTCAATTGAGTGTTATAAAGAAGTCAGTAAAAGAAAAAACAGATACAAAATACATTACTACATCCAAGGTGCTTTTTCCACACTCCTACAGCTGTGGCATTTGCATCCTACGTACAGCTAGGATGCTGTGACGTGATATTTACGGAAGAGCGGTCCACGGCTACCCTCTTTCAACAAAAGCCAACAGGAGCAGCCGAGAAGACCAAGCTCTTGGGGGGCAGGGGGGTAGAATAGGGAAGACAGAGGAAGCTCTTATTTTGTGCAGGATTGAAAGTTAATGCCCTTGCCTTCTCAAAGTCCTCTTGCCATTTAATCATGCTAATATATTTTCTCTCAGGTTTTTTTTTTCCTTCATTTACACTATTGATTTAATACTGCCCTGCATCGATTCCTGAATTCTTGTTAATGGGACACATTCATTTGTGCCTGTTTAATATATGAGCATCTGTTCTTCTTCAATGACAAATCTGGTCCAGGAAAGCATTCAGTAAGGAAGCACAAGATTCACACAATCATTTCTCCTGGGGGTCTTTTACTTAATCTACCCGATTTTGCCTGATCTTTACTCTGAGAGTAAATTGCACCTTGAAAAGAAATACAGTAGATACCATGGCGTCAGGGTACTAAAGGATTTACCAATCAATTCACAAAGTGAAATTTTAAGAATGTAGACAGCTGTCATATGTGAAAAGCAACCTTAAAGGAGAATTTTAAGAACAAAACTCCCAGTGCCAATCCTTGCCACCCCGTAAGCATACTGTCTTAACTCCCTGCTTTAACTTTTAATTCTGATGACATGCATCAGTCTACTCATGTAGGAGCCAGGAATCTCACCTAATTTCCTAAAAGGCTTCTAACGTCAGGACCGTTGTGTTAGGATGTGCAGTGACGCAATAAGCTTTCTCAGAGTATCAAGTATTCAGTAAAAAGTGTACAACATCATCACACGTCGTATTGTTCGACAATACTGTATTGGTTTTAACATTAAACTATGTAAAAAAAGGGGAACATAAAAAGATACAAAAGGAGTCTTTATCCCTATTTACCACTTTCAAATGAGAAACTTTTTAATGAAATGTCAGCCATACCTCATGTAACATCTGGCGTTTTAGGTCAGTAACTTTTAATATTGTGCAACATTAATAAGCGAGTTTTAATTCCATTCATTGAAAGACAAATCTAAGTTATTAAAGTGCCTACACTAAATGTCTTCTCATCACACTTCTTAGTCTCCTGTAAACGGCAAAGAATTCATCGCGGGTAAGTACAAAAGTGACTCATAACTGCGAGACCTTGCGAGGCAGAGGCCGGGGCCGCGGGCCGGGCTCAGTCCTCCGGGCCCCGTTCTCCAGGTGGCCCGACCGCGCCGCCAGAGGCTTGGGGGGCAGGGCGGGCGGCTCGGCCGCGACGGGGATGGAGAGGCTGTGAGGTAGGGGGACCGGGCGCCGCAGAGTCCGCTCGTACACGCTGTAGGGCGGCGGCGTCTTGCTGTCCTTCCGCACAGGCTCCTCGCGCCCGCTGGAGCCGGGGCCCGACCCCGGGGCCGGCGGCTCGTGCACCTGATTTTCGAAGCCTGAGGTCTCCGACATGCTGCACCGGCTGAGAGACGAAATCCCACTGCTGCAGCTGCCCGACAGGACGGGGGAGTTGGAGATGAGTCCTGGCGAGTGGTACTCCACGGGGGAGGGGGTGAAGGACTGCACGGAGCCCTGCTCACGTGGAAAGGGAGACGTGGGGGGAAAGCGAGAGGGACACACAGCAGAGTGAGACTCTGGTCCAGGCTGACCCGTGCACCCCGCCCCACCCAGGCGTGGAGGCCCGAACCCCTGGGACCTCAGCACCTGACTGTGTTTGGAGACGGGGTCTTTTGAGAGGTGGTTACGTTAAAATGAGGCCTTGGGGTGCGCCCCAATCCAGTCTGATTGGAGTCCTTATGAGAAGAGGAAATTAGGACACAGACACCAAGGCGCAAGCACACACAGACCACTCTGAGGTGTGGGGACAGCGTGGCCATTTGCCAACCCAGCCTGGCAACGCCTTGATCTCGGACTTGTCGCTTCCAGACCGGTAAGAAACTAAATTTCTGTTGTTTAAGCCAGATTGCTGGCATTTCATAAGGACGTGGCTCACTTTCTCTTAAGCGTCTGAAGCCAAGTCGGGGCTGCCCCCTGGGGGGGCCGTGAATTCCTCAGGTGACCACAGCCCCATCACCCCGCAGTGGGGCTGCCCAGCCCTTGTCCACGTCTGAATGTGCCATGTCCATGCTGGAGCCTTGAGAAAAATGCGGCCTAAGAGATGCTCCCCGAAAAGAGGGCCCCCCGGGAAATGCTGCACACTGTGTTATGTGTACTCGCTACTTTCAGGGCCTATTAGCAGCTCAGTCTTTCAGGAAAGAAACCCGAGTGACTTTGTTCAGCCCAGTGTTTTCTAAATGGATTTGACCACAGACCCCTTTTCCACTGCTGTCGTTCCTCACATAACTGCCTGTAAATCTAATATTCCATGGAACATACTTTGAAACATGTTATCCTAGACCAACTTGACCTCGGTCTCTCTTTTTAAACAAAATAATGCTGGCACACACAAATCCTCTCATGTAGCAGGAGCCTAGCATTAAGCATGGCAATGAAGAGGTCCGGATTCACTGCTGTTTTTGCCAAAAATTAGACCCCAAGTTCAAGATAAGGCAGGTAAGCTCAGTCTTCTCCACGGGCTTCCCTCCATCATTTAATTGCTGGAAAAACTCTCCGTTAAGGCAGGGAGCTCCGCGCTAATCACAGCAAAGCCAGTGACTTGGTAGCAGAGCGCCCTCTGCTGTCACCCAGGAGTTACAACACAAACGCGCTTCAAACCCCACCTGTACAGACGTGGCCACAGTGAGAACACACGCCAGTTTGGAGAGGCAGGCGACACAACCTTGGTAATAGGACCGTGTGCGGGAGCTGCTGAAACGTTTACATTCCTTCATTTCTGTTTTTAATAACCAACCTCTAAGACGTCTTATCGTCTTATTACTACTCTGCAAATTCAGAAAAACGCAGGCGTTAATTCCATAGCAACACGTGGGAGCTCTTGGGAGTACGGGTAAGTGGACAGATGCGGAAACACCACGTCGCCTTCCTTCCTGTCCCGTCAAGATGGCCATCTGCGGCCCCAGAGGGAGTGCAGCCCCATGCACTTTACGCTTAACAGCTGCATTGCAGAGTGACAACAAAACTGGCAAATACTTTGCACCCGCCAGCAGGCTTCTACACCAGAAATGTTGGCAATGCAAACAAAACCACACTTCTTTGCAGTTTTCTCCATTTTTGTTTTTGTTTTTCAGAATCTCAATTTCTATGAGCAGTTGCTGTATTGGATCAGAGACACACAGGACGGATCCCAACCGGCCCCTTTATTAGTGCTTTTGCTCTAGCTAATTTCTCTTTTTCTTTCACATTAGCTAGAAATATCAACAAAGGGGGCATGGAGTGTGTGGACCCTACGTCATTCAGGTACAAAATCGCTCTATCAACGCTCACTGCCACCTCATCTACCTGCACGGACAGCCTATCTGCACTGAGAGTCAGCGTCTATCCGTGCTGACACTGCTTCCCGCCAGTGTGACTCAGTTTGCGTAGAGACTGAAAATGATTATTTCCCTTCCTGAGGGATTCTGGATGCTTCGAGATGGTTAAGAGCCTGTGTCTACCTACCAATTCAAATGTCTGACCTTTCAAGCTTTCCAGTGTCTTGGAAATTTTAAAATTCATGTTACTGCCTTGTTTTTCATGCTCAAGTATGTATCCTTATGTAAACGAAAGTCTTGGTAGAAAGTAGTACAAGAGAAAAAGCTGGGTTTGGTTTTGTGAAAAGGGGTGCAGCTGATAATAAAGGCAAAAGGCACAGGAGATCCCGACTGGTCATGTTGTGATTTTAAAGTGTTTCTGTTTGTTTGTTTTTCATGTCCCTTAAACTAAAAGACCAGGCTGAAAATGTGCTAGGAGATACACTGGGACTGTATGTCTTTCCTAGTTCAGGCACATACGCAGTCTGTCCGTTCTCATCACCGCCATGTGCAGAATGAGGCTAATAATCTGAAAACAGCAGACTGCCCTCACGGAGGAGGCACAGCTGGTGCTGTTTTCTTACCCAGCTTCCTCCGCTCCTGCTCACTACGCCCTGTGCCTGCTCTGTGCACGTGACAGAACCTCACTCATGTACTGAGGAGGAGTCATAAGGGGAAAAGGGGCCGGCCTCCAGCCTCAGTCCACCTCACAGCCCATACCTTCAATGGAGATCGCCCGGCAGGCGAGGGGGACACCGACGTCGTGTGTCTCGCTGGTGAAGCTGTAAAAAGAGAGAGCATTTCAATGTAGAAAAACCAGAGGGCTGACCACCTGTAAATGCACTCTGTGTGTACCAACCCACAGACGATCCAGGGCATAAGGACCTCCTAGGCCAGGGCGTTGGGGAAGGGACTACATGATGACTGTTCAGAGGGTGGCAGCATGCAGATGTGGGATAATTAGGGAAAAGTCACCAGTGCTGATGCTTTAATCGAAGCAACAGGGCCCTAAATGGGTCTGGTGTCCCCTCCGCTTCCCCAAAGTCCAGATGCCTCTGCGCTGTTTCATCTATTTCCGAAGGGGCTTTGAGGCCTGAGGGCCAGGGAGCAGTGTTTGCAAAATAGCTGCTGACTCTGGCCTGAGCAGCAGTGAGAAGGCCCAGGTCCCCCAGGCGGCTTAGAACAGGCCTGTGGGAATCCGCTCCAGCCTCCCTCACACCCCTAACATTCCCAAAACTGGCAGAAACCCTGGGCCGTGTCCACAAGCGAGGTGGGAACGTCCCCATCTCTCCCTCTAATGCCCGGAGGCAGGTCTGCCCTTTGTCCCCGGGTGGGGGTTCTCTACAGATTTCATCACATGGCAAAGAAGTGCCATCTCTTTGGTTCTCCCCCTAGATTTCCAAGCCCTATGCCTGGGACGCAGCACGTCCATGGCGCTGTGCTGTGAGCGTTTGCGGTGGGTCAGATCCAGCTCTCTGAAGCATAACCACACACACCAGCCATCTGCCGGGACACGGCCGACACAGGGAGGGTAGCCAGATTTCCCAGTTCACCTACACAGGTTTCAATGAGTTCAGGGTTTATGGCTCTGTAATGAGCTGCCATTCTCCCAGCTGTCAGAGTGAGGTTTATAACTCATATGAAAACTACTAAAAGGCTGAAGGGAAGCAAGACAGACAGTCAACAGATCGCCCCCCCCCAACAGTGAGCACAGATGATGACATAGGACAGACCATGACAGCAGTCAGTGCAGGAGGGAAGGCAGCGCTGCCAAGTTAACTTGGGAGGGGCAAGGTCAGCTGTGGGGTCAGGGAGACAGCCCGTCAGTGCGCTGGGGCTGTGCAGTCTCCCCGCGCATGCCAGGGCATGCTGTCGGCACATGCGCTCAAACACCAGCGTTCATTCTCTTCTCCCATCAATCGTGCGTGTTGATTATGGAGGAAAGTCATGGCTGTGCAAAACCAGACCCTGACTGGGAAGTGTGCTGCTGCCACCACGTGGCAGAAGTCAAGGTTTCTGTAGCTTGGGACCCCCCTCCTCTTGGCTCAGCACTCGCTGACGCCACAACTGTGGGCCCCACAGCTGCCTTGCACCTACTGCATGTCCGCACACATTTATCTAGAAAGGCATCCTCCCAGAAGGCCTAACCCCGTTCCATCAGCACCCTCGTCTGCAGGCTGGACTGGGTCGAGGAGCCTACCTACCACCAACATGAGTGTTCCTTAGGAAATGCTTTTCAAGTTCCCAACTTTATTGACACC